ATATATAATATTTTATATACAAAAACTAGCCGGGTGACGGTGGCAGGCGCCTGTTAGTCCAGCTACTTGTGAGGCTGATGGGCAGGTAGGAAGAATGGTAGTGAACCGTGGAGGCGGAGCTTGAAGTGAGCCGAAGTTTTGCAGGAGCGATGATCCAGCCAACCGCACTCCCGCTGGCGACAGAGGTGAGACTCCGTTGCTCAGCTTGAACCTGGGAAGCGGAGGTTGCAGTGAGCTGAGATCGCACCATTACACTCCAGCCTGGCAACAGAGCAAGACTCCGTCTCAAAAAAACAAAACAAAACAAACAAACACACACACAGAAATATGTAGTATTTTCAGAGCATCGCAAGCATTTGAGAATTGCTCATTCCCAGGGGTGCCCACAGTCTCCCTCTGCAAGCCAGGAAATCGTTACGGTTCCATGGCTTCTGTTGATGTCTGGTCTCCTAGAATCCACCACTGAAGCCCCCAAGCCTCTGTCCGGTCCCCGCCGTGGAAAGGGTCTCACCCATGGTTTCAGTCCATTGCATTTATTGAGCGCCTACTATATGCCTGACCCCGACCCTTGGCTCAGCATACGTTTGTTTGCGCCCAGCCACACAGGACCCCCTGGGAGAGCAGCGGCTCATCCTCTGGGCCCCCAAATGGGTGGATCATTCCAGCAAATACGGCTTTGGCTACCAGCTCTCGGACGGGGGCAGTGGTGTCCTGCTTCGGGACGGCACCCACATGGCCCTGCGTCCCCCCGGAGAGTAAGTTGTGGCCTCCTGTGCCCTGGGGGACCAGGCGCTCCCCCTGCCTTTTTTCATTCATCTCTCAAGTATTTATTAAGCACCTGCTGTGCACACCTACAGGTGCTCCCTGCCTGGTCGGGGAGAACAACGCTAAACAAATGAATGACCAAGTGCTTTTCTGTAGGAAATGAACCCAGTGAAGAGGCAGATTAGGAAGGGAGGTGAATCCCAGTAGTGTGGTGGGGTGGAAGGGGAAGGGGTCTCTGAGAAAGTGACGTGAATGGCAAGCAGCAGCCCTGTGCTTTGGGAGGCCAAGGCAGCAGGATCGCTTGAGTCCAGGAGTTTGAGATCAGCCTGGACAACTTATCAAGACCCCATCTCTACAAAAATTTTAAAAATTAGCTGGGCTTGTGGTGCATGCCTATAATCCTGGCACTGTGGGAGGCTGAGGTGGGAGAATTGCTTGAACCCAGGAGTTTGAGATCAGCCTGGGCCACATAGGAAGACCTATCCTATCTCTACAAAATTTTTTTTTTCCTGAGACGGAATCTTGCTGTCACCCAGGCTGGAGTGCAGTGGCATGATCTAGGCTCACTGCAAGCTCCCACCGTCCCGCCGGGACTTCATTGCCATTCTCAAGCGAAGCATGCCCTCAGCCTCGCAGCTGAGTCAGGCTGGGCAGCTAAAATAGCCGGTGACCGTCCAGCGCCCGACAGCGCCCTACACGGCCCAGCTAATTTTTTTGGTTTTCTGTTTTTTTTTTTTGAGGACGGAAGTTCACTGCTTGGTTGCGCACGCGCAGGCCTCAGAGTGGAGCAATGGGCGCGATTCTTCCGGGCCTCACCACGGAGCCCCCCCGCCAGCAACCTCCAACCCATATCCTGGGATTCAAGTGATTCTCCTGCGTCAGGCCCTCGGCACTTCGATGAATAGGCTGGGGCATTAGCAGGCGTGGGCACCACCATAGACCGCCTAGGGCATAATTTTGTAATTTTTAGTAAGGACGCAGAGAGATTTCTGCGGCAATGTTGGCCAGCGCTGGTCTGCGAACATCCTGACCGCAGTCAGGTGATCTTCGCGCTGCCTCCGGCCCGAGACTCCTCGGGGCCTGAAAAACCAAAGTGGCTGGGCATTAACATGGTGTGAGGGCGTGGCACCGCAGGCACCATTGGCCTTTTTTTTTTTTTTTTTTTTTTTAATTAGCCAACTGCAGGGCTATATGTCACTAGTTCCAGCTACTTGGATGGCTGAGGTGGGAGGATCACTTGGTCCCAGGAGGTTAGGGCTCCAGTGAGTTATGACTGCACCACTACACTCCAGCCTGGGGGACAGAACGAGACCCTGTCTCTCCTTTTTTTTTTTAGACGGCGTTTTGCTCTTGTCGCCCAGGCTGGAGTGCAATGGTACAATCTTGGCTCACCACAACCTCCGCCTCCCGGGTTCAAGCAATGCCCCTGCCTCAGCCTCGCGAGTAGCTGGGATTACAGGCATGTGCCACCACGTCCGGCTAATTCTGTATTTGTAGTAGAGACGGGGTTTCTCCATGTTGGTCAGGCTGGTCTCAAACTCTTGACCTCAGGTGATCTACCTGCCTCGGCCTCCCAAAGTGTTGGGATTACAGGCGTGAGCCACCGCGCCCGGCCTACTGGGACCTTATTAGCATGCACTGGGCATACAGATAAGGTGTGGCCAGGGCAGAGCTGCTCCTTAAAGCCACCATTCCAGGAGGTGTAGCTGCATGGAAAGGTGTCCACTGGCCTGGGCTGCCCAGGACAGACGCCCTGTGTCCTGGCCCCAGCCAAGTGTGCTACATGCCCGGCCGCGGGAAGCTGGAAACCTTCACCCTGAGGAATGTGCCCGGCCCGCTGTGCGCCAAGCTGGCCGTGCTGCAGCTCTTTGCCGGCTGCCTGAAGCGGCGGCTGCGGGAGGTGAGAGCTGGGGTGCTGGGAGGGCGAGGGGTGGGGACACCCCCTGCTCCCCATGACCTCAGCCAAGTCTGTCCACAGGAGGGGACCCTCTCCACACCTGTGCCACCTGCTGGACCTGGCCTCTGCCTCCTGCGCTTCCTGGCCTCTGAGCAAGGCTTGCTGCTGCTGTTCAGCGATGGGACGGTGCAGGTGAGCCCGGGGCTCACACTGAGGGGCCAGTGGGGCTCAGCAGGGTGGGGTCTGGCCTGCCTGGGCTGTTAGGGAACAAGCTTTGGGGGAGCCCTAGGAAGCATTTCCCTCCCAAAAAAGAAAAAAAAAAAAAAGTATTGGCTCCTAAATACAAAAGCCACAGCATGGAAAATGCGTGACGTTTTTGGGCCAGGCACTGTGGCTCACGCCTGTAATCCCAGCGCTTGGGAGGCTGAGGTGGGAGGATCCTTTGAACCTCGGAGATCGAGGCTGCAGTGAGCTATAATTGCACCATTGCACTCCAACCTGGGCAACAGAGCGAGACCCTGTCTCTAAAAAATAAAAATAAAAAATAAAAAACAAGTGACCCTTCTTGGAGGTGGTTTTTGTTGTTGTTGTTGTTGTTCAGATGGAGTCTCCAGACCCGTCCCGGATTAATGCTGTGATCTGCCCCGGCCCTTGGCCCTCCCAACGCAGTGCTGGGATTACACGGCCGTCCGTGGCACGCCAGCCAAGACCCCCCCTGACTCTTATCTGACTTGGGTACATACAAGCCCCCTGTCCAAGGGCAGGCGCCGGTGGCTCAAGCCTGTAATCCAGCCCACTTTGGAAGGCCGAGACCAATGGGCGGATCACGAGGCTCCAGGAGATCCGAGACATCCGCCCTGGCTAACACCCCCAGCTGACAACCCGTCTCTAGTCAACAAAAATACAAAAAACTACGCCGGCGCCTGACCGCTGCGCGGCCGCTGTGAGTCCCCAAGCTACCTGCAGGGGCCTCGAGGGCAGGAGAGATGGCCATAAACCCGAAGACGGAGCTTGCAGCTCGAGCTGAGTCCCGGCCCACCTGCACTCAGCAGGGCGTGACAGACGCGAGACT